GGAAAGAGGTGGGGACAACAATCAAAAGGGAGTGTACAAGGAGGAATTGCTGAAGAGTTAACAGAGTACTTAATTACACGAAAAAACTGGAAGCATGTTGAATGAATAAGAATCAGCAAGTAATTAATGCAGAGACTAATGCAAGTACATAAACATTGACCGAAAGAACAGCGTCTGACAGGTAGCAAGGTTTTCACCAGCGCAATCGCTAGGCACCTGACGGAAATAGGACATCAAATAGATGTTTCTCAGTCCTTTAGGATAATTAGCAAACAAAGAACACTATGTTTATTACGGTCTACGAAAGCTGTAGCCATCAAACATTTTCAACCGGACTTACATACTCAGAAAAAGACTGTGACTAACCTTTCTTTATCGTGATAACATTGTACAGTTTTCTGCATATGTATGCAGATCGTTTTTCTTATGATATCATCTTTCATTAATTAATTACTGATTCTTATTCATTTAACACTTTTCCAGTTTTTTTCATGTAATTAAGTACCCTGTTAGCTCTTTAACAACCCCTTCTTGTACACCTCCATTTGCCTGTTGTCCCCAACTCTTTTCACAGATACAGAATTATCTTCCACATTAGATATAGGTTGCCAATGATTTTGACTAGGATTTGTGATTGTTAATCCAGTGTTCCCTCGACTCAATAACTACCTTATAGTGAATCGTGGATTTTAAATTTCCCTTTATTTTTACATATTAAAAGTATGGTATTGAAATAATGGAGAATATTTATAGCTCAGGTGGATGGTCTTGGTTGTATTGTGTTCTCTGAGTTGGGTTGTTTAATTGTGAAGCTTTCATCATCTTCCTAGACGACATCATCAGCAATAACTTCAGTATGAGGTGAGCTGTCAATATCGCTCCGTGAGTGATTTAGTGGCTTACTCTAACGATATGGTCTGTGATTGGTTGTTTCCTTCGATTGTTTTGTCATCAGTTGTATAGACTTTCCTGTTGGCTGTTCCTTTGCTTCACATCTGACCTTTCTGTCGTTTATCATTTTTCTTATTGGTTGATAGATTGGATCTATGTCTATACATCTGTTGATTGCTGACTGACTGACCTGAATGCCAAGCTTCTAGGATTCTCTGACATTCTTTGTGTTTCCTCTGTCCAAACTTTCTACATTGTCGAAATTCAATTCATGTCTATGATTATCCACGTGCATTGAAATGAGTAACGAAATATCATCTGTGACGTTTAATGGCCAATTGGTGTTCATGTAGACAAAGGCGAAGAGGGCGGCCACTTTGTCCAATGTAGTGTTGACTACAGTTATTGCAGTTGATTTTGTAAATGATATTCCGTTTGTCTTCTTTTGTTGTTACATCATTTGGTCGTCATAATGGTATTTGCAGGGAATTTGTTGGTTTATGAGCCACACCAATTCCAAGTGGTCACGGCAGTCTCGTAGTGATCACTACTACGATTGTGACTTTCCTTCCTTTTGACTTGAATCCATCTTGCTGTCATCATCCTGGTCCTGCAGGAGGAGATTGGTTCCTACTACATGAGAGAGAGCCTTCGATGCTGTTAGGGACATGATGATAGCCACTCCAAAACTCTGTGTGCTCATGGTTGTTATCTGTGTGACAAAATCTGAGTAGATTATTGACTCTGCAGTTGACAGATTGGAGAATCCACTTCCATTAGCTCTACATTAGCTCTAGCAGATTCCCAGCCTAGCACTTATATACTATACCTTCTCATTTCCTCCGCAATCTGGGCAGCCTTGCCAGTCAACCAGTCAGCTTCAAACATTGTACGGACATTCTGTGTCCCTTTGCTTAGCTTACTTTTGCTTTCATTGAGGGAGCGAAGACACATAGACCAATTGGATTCTCGAAGCCTTTCACCAACCGGCGTCATTTCGTTCCTCCGATTCCAGTGAGGAATAAGTTTACATTTATTTTTTATATTTTTTTGTGTTTTGAAGTTTGTTTAGCTATTGGATTGGTTTTTCGGGGAAGGGTTGGTAGCCCTATGCCCAACCTTCCCTGTTTATCCGGGCTTAGGACCGGTTAGTAACTAGTGAACTAGTTAACCAGGCGAAGTTGGAGTAAGACAAGGTTGTCACCTACTATCATCACCGATGACCTTCCTGATTGTGGTCGACTCGACTCGACTCGACTGGATGATGCAAGAGTCTGTGAGGAGCGAGAAGATGTGCATACGCTGGCTGGACCGATGAAAAGACCCCAGAAAAAGATTTGGATTTCGCTAACGATGATGACTTATGTCTAATGTCTTGTTACACAAACTCGAAGATCTACAGGCGAAAACTAACAAGTTGATAGGAAAGGTGTGGCAGCAAAGTAAAACTGGACTTCCTTCGTGTGAACGTAGAGCAGACATAAGTGATGAAGATGCCCAACCAACAACAACAGCAACAAGCACCAGTCACCATCAGCTGGAAAAATATGAAGAAAGTTGTCTCTTTCACCTCCCAACCTACGTAGACAGCATCGTTTCAACTACAGGCGGTGGCACAGATGAGGATATCAAATCCAGGATCGGAAAGACAGCAAGACAGACCTTCCTTCATTAATCTGAAATCAGTGTGGAGATCTACTGCACTCAGCATAAGGCGTGTGCAAGATTCGGATTTTTAACACTAATTCAGTCAAGTCAGTGCTTCTATGTGATGGTTGAAATACTTGGCTCGTCACGAAAAGTGATTCCAACAAACTACAGACATCATTCATCAACAACTGCCTACGCTGGCTTGATACTGAAGATCAGATGCCCAGAACCAACCAACAACCTATCGCCCAAAAAATATACAGGAGAAGAAAGTGGAGATGGATTGGATTGGGCATACACTGAGAAGACCGTTGGGGGAAATCCCACCACAGTCCAGGCTAGGCCAAACCATCGAGTGGAACTCAAAGGGGAAATGATGAGTTGAGCATCCGAGGGTGACATGGAAGAGATCATCTCAGGAAGGAATGAAAGTTAGTAGTCAGTAGTGGTGCCAGGTTGAGAAGACTGGAGAGAAGAGAGTGAAATAGCTATGTGTTACTGAAGCCCTATTTTTCACTAGAAACCCAAGGACAAATAATATTAATACCATTATTTCTACTAATATTTAATTCCAACTCTATGCTGTTTGTAGCTGATGAATGGGTGTCAAACAAAATGAACTCATTTTATTCCCCTGATATCTTCATTTACACATTGTTCAAATTCTCCAATGGAACTAATTATAAGGCTTGAGACAGTTACCCGTCAGCTAATCAAAGATAAATACTCACGTGGATAGTGTATTTGTCAGAAAGTTATAAGAGATATATTGCTGAGGTCGAAGAATCTGCTAAGTGGGAGTAATCGATAAACCAACCAACTTAATACTTTTATCTGCTCACTACGCGCCAGTAGAGTCATGTAATCAACTTCAAACTCTAAACACGTTCATATTAACTGAATAAGGTTATTGTTCTGTATCTGTAATTTCCCGTTGATACATAGTGTTGAATTGTTTGACCTCTATTAACAGATGTACTTCTATGCGTATGCCTTCAAACTTTCTGATGATTCTTTATGTTGTAGTTTACTTGGTGGTAACCAGCACTGTAATCCACTACTCGGATTTCTTCGTATTTTGGACCCGTCAGCTGGATGTATTTACACCCCAGTGAGGCTGAGCAGTTCAACCCCTAGTGGATAGCACTCTGGCATTTGAAGCGATTGATCCTGGGTTTGAGTCTCATTGGGTTGTAAATACATCCAGCTGACAAGTCGAAGATAGGTCGAAATGTGCATCCTGAGTTCCGCTGCTAGACACTAATTTGTAAACAAGGTTTCTTTCATCATGTTTTACAGTTTATTTTGTCGATTTAATAAAAAAACTAGTTTTTTTTCAGCAAATCACTGTTGACTCAACTCTGGTATTTGCAAACAGATCTGCATAATGATATTTTCACTAGTGAAGGTCATTCAAAACACCAAACATAGGCAGTGATAACTTTGAAGATCTTCTGAACTGAAATCTACTTTTTTGTTGTAGGAACTACTGAAGAACTGACGGCACTGGACTTATGTTTCATCCCATTATAATTAGTTTTATTACTGTTATATTATTTGCTCTGAGTACTCCATTTATTGTATATAATTTTAAAAATTCACTTATCAACTCGTAGCAGACGGTTGACAGCGTTCTTAATAATTTATGCTATTCGAAAACGATACACTTTTTATCTTTCGGCTGTCCATTAAGCTGTCAGTGGAATTCAGGATGTGCGTTTCGTCCTATTTAGAACTTATCAGCTGGATGTAAGGCCTCCCAGTGCGTGGTTTTCCCTACTAAGACGTGAACTCGAAACTGATGGCTACGACTGTCACAGCCTTATCCACTTGACCACTGAGTCATGATAGTCATTCCTTATGCGATGGGTATGGTTTTTATCTGACTGTTTGTTTTGCTCTGTCGCTGAATGGTCCTGGGCTTGAGCGTTAGTGGGATCAACATCACTCACCGGGAGGCAGGTACATCCAGCTGATGAGTACCAAGTAGGATGAAAAGTCCATTCTAGATTCCACTACTGCCCACTATGCATCATTAATACTTAACTAGAATATTTTAACTTCCTCTAGATTTTTTTGAGCTGACGTCCTACAACTGCTGTAAATAAATGTAGTTATTTCCGTTTTGTAGGACTAATTGACAAACTGTGAAACCTGACGACTGTTTATGTAACTTTGTAAGTTTCCTTTTTAGACAAGACTCACTTGTGTCAATTTCATTGAGTAGAATGCAAAAAAGGCATGTTAAGATCATAGTTGAGGGGGTAAATACAATTTGCTGTGGTAAAAATTTCACTATGAACAGTATCATAGATAAAATGATACATACCTCTTAATCTGCATTACTAACCACCAACCACTAAAACAATGTTAGAAAGTAAACTATTTGATAATCCATTAACTAGAAATGTAGAATTGTTATCTCGCAAAGTTCAACTTCATTTCATTTCAATTTACAGTTACCAAAGTATATACAAAAAACTGAGTTGAATGGGACTGTCACTGAAGGATTGCTAGTCGATTTGTTATCTGGTGATAATCCACTACAAGTTAATTATTCAATACAAAGTTTTCCTAGTCATATAACTTCTCCATTGGTACATGTTAACCACTGTACAGATCTGGTAAGCTCATCTTTCAAATTACTTCACTAACATGCACTATTTACAAGCATTTTATTCATTTACAGGTTGTCTTTGACAAGCAATTATTATTATTATTATTTGTCCCTTGGGTTCCTAGTGGAACATAGGACTTCATTCCTCCATTCCACTTTACTCTCTGCAGTCTGCTCAACCTGGCTCCACCAGTGACCGTTACCTTTGATTCCTTCCTCACACCATCTCCTCCATGTCACCCTCGCCTCGGACTCCCAACTCCTTGTTTCTCATTTGGCTTCCGCTCGAGGACCTGGCCTGGTATGTGATGTCCCCGAATGGTCTTCTCGGTGATGCCCAATCCAATCCATCTCCACTTCCTTCCAGTGCATATTTGTTGGATGATGGGTTATTGGTTGATTCGTTGTCAGGCCAGAGTTTCTTGTTGTTTATTGTTTCTGGCCATCTGATCTTCAGTATCGAGTGAGCTTAGGCGGCGGCTGTTGATGAATGTTTGTTGACAAGATCTTGTACTCCTAGAAATACTTCAGCTTATGTCTTTCTCTTCCATAGTTTGATAGTATTGCAGATCCACTCTTTAAAGCAATAATTAACCTATTGCACGACTGATTTCCCCTAAGGAATTGACTGCTAGATGCCGGCGACTAATATGTATTTGTGCTTGTCACCTCTCAACAACAGAATTGAAGAGCTGAATTACAGTTATGCTATATGATCAAAAAATTACTTCATGCTGCCTACTGGTTTATGAATAGCCGCAAAACATTTTCCAGTTTACTTCTATTTCTGTAAGATTGAAAAGATTGATGAACTGTCTGTTATAACTCGTAGTATATTAAAGATAAAAAGTGAAATATTTGACTTAGGTCTCTTGGTTGATACCAGGCTATAAGTCCTAAAATGTCTATTCGGAAAGTGGGCAGAGTTATAATCTGAATTGCGTTACTTTGCTCTCAATCGCGAAAATGAATGACTTATATGGTCACTCAAGCAACTGCTGAAATAACCAATCAGTTTTAGGCATTCCAGCCAGAAGAGTAGCTTTTCTTAAAATGAAGAAACGTAATTGGTTATCTCAGCAGTTGTTACGATGACATTTAAAGTCACTTGCTAAAATGATCATAACATACAAGTGACTATGACTTCATAAAGGTACTATAAAGACCACCCAATCTACAACTGAGGTAGACAATTGGGTTTCTTTGTTTTCACCTGCAAGGCAAAACATTAATAAGATGAAGTCTAATTAGCTACATCAGTTGTTCTAATGGTGGAACATGACAGTCACTTAACTTTAATGTCTAACATAATTCCACCCTTATTTCCTATGCTTGTGAGTCAATGACCGGATTGCATAAAGGCCGGATGTTGTCAATTCCACATTAGATTTGATTATTTGATATAAAGCACACAGTGATACACTATTATTTACTTGATTAGGTTTCGAGCACAAATTATTATAGCTCGTAATCATATCAATGTAATCACACTTCTTTCGATATCTGATTTTATAGTCCTGTCACCTGATTTCTCTTTGTTTTGTTTTTTGATTGGTAGTAGAGTTTTCCATATCTCTGGTATAGGTGTTGCGTCATTCCTATTACATGTGTTGGGTGTGGATTCGAGAACAGAGATTCAGTAATTAATCTCTCTCTCCACCTAGCTATATTAGACCTAAGTACAGTGGTTTTGTCCCACCCTATTGTGTGGTTGTGTGTTAATGAATGTAATGCAATGGCCGAGTGTTTTTCTAGATTATTGATCTTACTGGGGTCTGCCGTTCTATGTTTAGCTAAATTCCTATGTTCTGTTAATCTAACTGACCCCAACCGGCTAGTTTGACCTATGTATTTGACCTCACAGTCATTACATGGAATTTGGTAGATTATATTATTTTGCCTAATCGGTTCTATCGGATCTTTTAGCCGACAAAGCTTACCTCTAAGTGAGTTTGTTGGTTTAAATGCCACCCTAATTCCAACCTTGTTGAGAATCCTACGTATGGTTTCTGATGTTCCTTCCTTGTATGGTATCACAATAGAGGTGTTGATTTCCTTCCTACTTATGTTGTCGCTATTATTTGTATTTGTATTAGTGTTATTATTTTGCTTCTTATGTGTTTGTGTGAATTTCTTAATAAAATGATGGGGATAATTATTAATTATTAACTCTTCTTTTTTGTGTTTCAATTCCTTTTTTAAGTTCTTACAATGACTAGTGAGTTTCTTAGCTCTGTTATTTAGACATTTGACTAAACCCGCTTTAACTGACACTGGAAGAGATGACTTGAAGTCTAGATACCTGTTAGAATGTGTTGGTCTTCTGTAGACGGTAGTATCTAAACCACCATCTATCCTTCGTTTTATTCTGTAATCCAACATAGGTAATTCTCCTTGTTCATTTCCTACTTCGTAAGTGAATTGGATTGCGTTAACTACTGAGTTTATGTGTGTCAGGAAACTGTCGATATGTTCCGATTTTAACACTGTAAATGTGTCATCCACATATCACCACCATATCTTAGGTGTCGGATTATATGTTCGTAAAGCCATATCTTCCCAACCATCCATAAATATATCTGCTACTATAGGGGATATTGGTGATCCCATTGCTACTCCTTCTGTTTGTTTATATATCCTTCCCTGAAACTTGAAGACTGTCGAGGTCAAGCATACATAACTGCACTCCTAACATGATTTCATCAACCGATGCCTTGGTTCTTTGAGTAAGTTGCGCTCGGCCTAAACTTCAACATAACAGTAGATCATCTAAAACCAGAAGATGTCATACCTAGCATAGAAGTAGCATTAAGCTCGGTTGATGTGACAACTGCTGAACAGGTTAGAGCGCAGTGTGCATTAGCACTAAAAAAACAAAAGAAGACACAGCGAAACTTAACGAAACTGGAAAATTCAGCTTTAAACAATCTACGAAAGGATAATAGTATAGTAATTGCTAAATCTGACAAAGGTAACTCAACAGTAGTTATGGACAAATCGGATTATCTTAAAAAAATGGATGAACATATCCAAACAGGGCCATATGAAAAGATTAAGAAACCTATAGATACTGTCATGAATAAAATTAAGAAATCTACAACAGATCTGATACGCCGACTGAAGCCATCTCTAGGTAAGTCCGAATGGTTTACTTTAATGCCAAAAACTAATAATCCTAGCAGAATTTACGGTACTATTAAGGTTCATAAAGCAGGTTATCCCATTAGGCCGATAGTTGACTTCCGGAACACACCAACATATGAGATATCAAAGTATTTAGCATCAGTATTACGTCCTGTTAGAGACCGTTCCAACTCTAGACTAGTAAATTCTTACGAGTTGAAACAAAAACTTAATGACCTGCACATAGAAGAGGATGAAAAAATGGTTAGTTTTGACGTAACAAGTCTTTATACTAAAATACCAATCAATATGGCACTGGAGGCAGTCAGAAATCAACTAGATACTGACTCACAACTTACTCAAAGAACCAAGGCATCGGTTGGTGAAATCATGTTAGGAGTGCAGTTATGCTTAACCTCGACAGTCTTCAAGTTTCAGGGAAAGATATATAGACAAACAGAAGGAGTAGCAATGGGATCACCAATATCCCCTATAGTAGCAGATATATTTATGGATAGTTGGGAAGATATGGCTTTACGAACATATAATCCGACACCTAAGATATGGTGGCGATATGTAGATGACACATTTACAGTGTTGAAATCGGAACATATCGACAGTTTCTTGACACACATAAACTCAGTAGTTAACGCAATCCAATTCACTACGAAGTAGAAAATGAACAAGGAGAATTACCTATGTTGGATTGCAGAATAAAACGAAGGATAGATGGTGGTTTAGATACTACCGTCTACAGAAAACCAACACATTCTAACAGGTATCTAGACTTCAAGTCATCTCATCCAGTGTCAGTTAAAGCGGGTTTAGTCAAATGTCTAAATAACAGAGCTGAGAAACTCACTAGTCATTGTAAGGACTTAAATAAGGAATTGAAACACATAAAAGAAGCGTTAATAATTAATAATTATCCCCATCATTTTATTAAGAAATTCACACGGACACATAAGAAGCAAAATAATAACACTAATACAAATACAAATAATAGTGACAACATAAGTAGAAAGGAAATCAACACCTCTATTGTGATACCATACAAGGAAGGAACATCAGAAACCATACGTAGGATTCTCAACAAGGTTGGAATTAGGGTGGCATTTAAACCAACAAACTCACTTAGAGGTAAGCTTTGTCGGCTAAAAGATCCGATAGAACCAATTAAGCAAAATAATATAATCTACCAAATTCCATGTAATGACTGTGAAGTCAAATACATAGGTCAAACTAGCCGGTCGGGGTCAGTTAGATTAACAGAACATAGGAATTTAGCTAAACATAGAACGGCAGACCCCAATAAGATCAATAACCTAGAAAAACACTCAGCCATTGCATTACATTCATTAACACACAACCACACAATAGGATGGGACAAAACCACTGTACTTAAGTCTAATATAGCTAGGTGGAGAGAGAGATTAATTACTGAATCTTTGTTCATCGAATCCACACCCAACACATGTAATAGGAATGACGCAACACCTATACCAGAGATATGGAAAACTTTACTACCAATCAAAAAACAAAACAAAGAGAGATCAGGTGACAGGACTATAAAATCAGATGTCGAAAGAAGTGTGATTACATTGATATGATTATGAGCAATAATTTATGCTCGAAACGTAATCAAGTAAATAATACTGTATCACTGTGCGCTTTATATCAAATAAACAAATCTGATATGGAATTGCATTCTACCACAGTGCCGAAGTTTTCCACTTATACTGATTTTGTGGTCGTTTTTGCCCGAGTCTTTAAAGACTACCCTGGCTGGCGCCAAAGTAACCAATCAAGGTTCAGGACTGAAGTTAATTTTTTATAAAATGGTGAAATGCAGTTGGTTCTCCTTGCAGTCATTGCGACTGTTGAGATAACCAATTGCTTTCCTGCATTCGATATGAAATGCCTTCATAACCGAAACTCCAAAATCTGATATAGATCGGTTCAAGAGCTTTCGATCGACACCTCAGTCATCTCAACATGTTTCATGTTTACGAAATAATTACATGTTGAGTCAACTCACTTATTCTATATTATCTCACCAACCATGCTTGAAACTGATTGGTTCATTTCTACTAACTATTATGCGTTGTAGACAAGAGATCTGATTTTACTGTAGATGATTCAGATCACCTAGAATAATACGGATAACAAGAATAAGACATTGTATTCTGTTGTATAAAGCTATGGAGCATCAAATTGCGTAACTCCTTTTGTGGGTTCGTACAATTACTGCTAGGCTAAGTTGGGCTTAACTAGTTTTATAGCCGTAATGGCTTTGACGAGTGTCTTAAAAGGCCACCCTAACAACAAGCGAAGTAACCAGCCAGATTTCTTTATTTTGTGAAAATCTGCCTTTCAAGCCAAAATGAAATGTAATTGGTTATTCTGATCATTGCTTACATTTTATCGAAAACTACCTTGCCAGCGGAAATACCGAGATCTAATTGATTATTTCAGCAGTTGTTAGAATGGTCTTCAAAGTCACTCGATTGAAAGAAAAATATTTCCATGGATCATGTTCATTGCATGGAAATTGCTTTCTCAGACAAGTTATTCAAGTTTTGACGTCATTAAGTAACTGTCCTCATGTTTGAACATGAAGTCGAGCTATATAGTGAACTGACAGATGCTGGAAATATGGACCATTGGATCCTGATCCACTGGCTCAATTGTAACGTACTGGGCACAGAACCTTAAAGTCTTGGTTTCCGTCCTTGGTGGGGTCATGGATGCGGACTACTGAAGAGTCGCACACTAGGATGAAACAGTTGTCCAGTGATTTCAGTTTTCTATTATTTCTTCGACTGAAGTCAGTCCACGATGAGCACCAACCTGAAATAACAGTCGTTTAATTGTAAAACAGATAACTCACTTTCCAGTCTAAATAGCTTCTTTCGTGTATTTGTAATTCATTGTATTCTGTGGTCTTGTTGATCACATTTATCAACGCACAAGCTGTACATTATGAAAAAAACGAAGAACTTGGAACAGTTTGATAAAAGTGTTACCAATATTTGTCGTGACATTTTTCCATGAATACTTAGTAGGTATGAAAAAGATCCCAGTGTAAGCGACGTTTTTTAAGGTGCATAAATCGTATTTATAACGCATAGGTTATACTCGTAGGACTTTAGCCTTACGAACTCATCAATATATACCGGCTCGACTTGGAAAAGGAGTCATTAATTAGATCATACTCATCAGTAAGTCAGAAGTTGATAGTTAATTCTGGCTATACGCGATTATCCTAATTCCACTAGTCATTTCCAACAAATGTTATTCCGTTGTCTTAATGAAATGGTAGAATAGGGAAAGAATTGGAATACATTAAGGCAGTCACTTTGAGGATGAGGCATGGAACTTGACATTCCAGATTTGATAGCAGTCCAAAAATCTTTGCATTTTCCCATACAGAAAACATACTAATGAATACATCATCATGTTTATTATTAATATCCGCAATCTACTTGTTGATGCAAATAAAACAAAATCACGTAAAACGTCACTACTTTATCATCCCGTGTCGAAGATCTCTACTCACCTCATACAGCCTGGTAGTTTACGCCTATCAATGACCTAAGCATGAAGGAAGTTATAAGTGTAGATGAAAATGTGAATGCCATCTGTTCATATAACAAGAGGATCTATGATTTCCTTGAAAATGATTCAGATAAACACTACCAAGAAATTCACAAAATTCAGACTAATAATTTATAGCTAATTATTATAAATTATCAAGAAAAGAATAATCAAGCCTCCGTGGCATAGTGGATAACTCCTTGTCGTTTGAAAAGATGGGTACGAGGTTATAGTCTTAGTAGGAACAACACCACTCACTGAGGTGCAAGTATATCCAACTGACGTGTCCCATATAAGACGGAACATGCATCCTGGATTCTTCTGCTAGCCATAACCAAACAAATTATCAAAAGAATATTCCTTATGAAATGCATTTCTTCTCAATAATTCTGTACATTCTAAAGAATTCTCTTCATAAATACTGGTTGCCTACTGTGAGAACAGTCATCACAGTTGCAAGCATTCAGTTGTATGTGTAAAAGTAATGCAATGAAATTCGAATATAGAAACATTTTTTAGACATACCATCTTACCAACGGAATGCGTAATAATAATAATGGAATCAGGGTTGACGCGTATATTTTAAAAATAGCAAAGGGAATTTCTACCATCTATGTATCTGTTTGTCATCTACACAATTTCCCCTTTTACAGTGAAAAAAAAGTTACTCTAAAGATAACCCTAGCAGCCATTGAAATTTCTTCATTTAGGGTGGAAAGGCATTTTTTTTTCGAGAAATAAAACAACTTAACTGGCCATTTCACTAATTATTGTCGTGGTTTTCAAAGTAACTCCTGAAGACGATTTGCTATGTCTCCGCTTGGTAGTGATTGTCACGCCTGACTGTGATGTTCCATGGAATTAGTCTATAATATACTTACACACGTCTCGTCTACACTCAATCCACCTACACGACAAGTTAGGTAATTTGGTGCTCCATAGCTTATACAACAGAATACAATGTCTTATTCTTGTTATCCGTATTATTCTAGGTGATCTGAATCATCTACAGTAAAATCAGATCTCTTGTCTACAACGCATAATAGTTAGTAGAAATGAACCAATCAGTTTCAAGCATGGTTGGTGAGATAATATAGAATAAGTGAGTTGACTCAACATGGAATTATTTCGTAAGTATGATTCATGTTGAGATGACTATGACAGCCAAAATCCAATAATTTTGGCCTGAACACGGGAAATAACTAGGCGGTGCCAAATAACACCAATCTGACTAGTTCCTGCCTTTTACTGTAAAGCTTCCGAACTTCCGCAAGTGACGCACAGTCAAAGGTTGGACCAAAATATCAAAACACGGTTTGTAGTAATTCAGTGGTAGATTCATAACAAAATCTGTGGTACTATCAAAGCAACGATAAGTTATATGAAAATTACAAAAATACCTCAACAGTGCTGTTGGGTAACTATGTCGTCCAAACGTTCTGGGGTGCAAACACGTACTATACGGTAAAAACTGGTTAAACCAAAACAATTGTTAAGTACCTGACAGTCAATAAGAATATTCCCGACAAAAGGGATCAGCACTCAGCCTACCAGAATCAAATCAACAACTAAACGTTTCCAGTAGACAATCAAAAGACAAACAGTCAAATCACAATACAACCGTAAGTGGGACCAAAACAAAATGTCGGACGCAGTAAAACAATATCATCTTGTCAACAGTCCAGCGTCACATAATAGGAAAGTGAAACATTCATCATAAGTCCCAAACATACAAGGGCAAATACTGATTACAAAGTCAAAGAAGACAGTCAAACAACCAAATAACGTTACACCTGCCAAGGTCAAAGGTACACCATCCATAACAAGGGTAAAAATATTCAAATAAATTTCAATACTATCAAATAAGGTGATCTGGAGGGATTTTCAGATCAATTTTCCGGTACAATAACTCAGGTGTTAATCGAAAGACCTTGAAACGAGTTATAAAGTGAGATGTCTGTGAATACTTCATAACTAAAATCTTCCATGATATAAATGAGATTATACGACTAGTTTAAGAAGAATGTAATGAACTGGATGAAATTCTTTGTCCATTCATTATCTGAATTTATTTTAATAAAATAATTTCTGTTTTCTTTTTTTAACTAGCTTTCAACTTCTGTCGATTGTTTATGCCTATTCGAGTATACTTCTGATGCTCTTATTAATATAACAAATAGCGATAGTCAAGGTCTAAAAAGATTCCCTTATGTAACTAGATCGTTTACTCAACTAAGACCAGTACTATTGGCTAAATGTGATAAAAATAAATGTTCCTCTCAAGTGGATTCATGGTTTATAAATGCAATGTACTTTGTATATGCATTCCATTCTTCTATATGGTCACTGATTTTGCTGTACGCCTTAACGGTAGGTGGTTGTTCCTTTTTTCCTTGATTTAGTAATTTTCTATCGGTTCTATAATTCCTTCTTATTATTATTGTATTTTTGGGATTAAATGGGGGAATTTATAAATTGATTGGTTGTGGCTAGTAGAAGAATCCAGGATGCGCGTTTCGTCCTATTTGGGACTCGTCGGCTGGGAATTTATATTTAAATTAGCATTCATCACGGACTGATATCATTTGGAGAACCACTAAAAAACTGGGAAAACTGGACAGCCGTTTCGTTTTAGTATAGCACTCCTAATCAGTGCGTACTTATGACCTAACTTCGGGTTGATCTCAGGAATATAAGAATAAAACGTGTTCACTGTGGCAGAATGTAATTCCACTTTTATTGATGTATCAGATCTACCATACGGTGTCGTAGTATTATTAACTGAATTATATTTCGGACATAATTTATTTGTCTATCAAGATAACTACACAATTTTGAGACATGGTTTAAATAGTTCTATTTCTCTTACTCTCTTTGTAATATAGGTGGTAGGATTTTCGATCTATCCGAGACAAGTGCTGAGTCATTCCTGTTGTATACCTTTGGTGTTGATTCGATAAGCAAAGATTCAGTTATCAGTCTCTCCCTCCACCGCATTAACTTAGTTTTAGTGGCTGCTGAGGAGACCCATACTAGGATGAAACAGCTGTCCAGTACTTCCAGGTTTCCAGTGTTTCTACAGCTGATCTCAGTCCATGGTGAATTCCAACCTGAAATCAATTAAATCTTATCAGACAAAATGTTGGCTCAACCTAGTTGCAATAATGATTAGCAGTTTTAATTAATAACTATATCTCAGGAAATAAGTATAAAAGTATTTTTCAAAACTGCACCATTTGTTGAGAGAGCTTCCTAAGACATCCTAGTTATCATTACTCAAGGGGTTACGCTGAAGTTCTCCAGTTCAAACAACACTTTCAACTTAGTCAGTGGATTTGAATAAAGACTGATGAAAGCAAATTGTAAGTCGTCCCGTCACATACAGTAAAGGCCTATTTAGATATAATAATTTGAAAATGCTGGTTAACATTAGATCTACAAATAGAAAACTGGTTCAAGTATTCGTTATATTATGGTTTACTTGGTGGCGGTTAGTGGTGAAATCCATGACGCATATTTCGTTCTATTTGTGACTCGTCAGAGGCCGAGCGACTCGGCCCAATATAGGAACGGAAAGTTAGAAGTACTAATAAACAACAACTGATGCTTGTTGCACAAGAAGTGGCTATCTTACCTCAGCGGTCTACAGGATATCCTCTTGGTGTTTGAAGTGATGGATACTGGGTCCAAGTTCCTCTGGTAAGAACACTACCCACTGGAGTTCAGGCATATCCGGTTGACAGGTTCCAAATAGGACGAAATGCGCATCCCGAACTCCATCGCTAGCCACCACCAAGCAAGTCACGGCGTAATTACCAGGCGATATCAGGGCATCCGAACAGCAGCTCAGTCACAAACAGAGGTCAATGAGTTCGACCAAATAGAGCAACGGGAAACTGCAAGTACCCATAAACTGGTTCAAGTAATTTCTCCAATAGTATCTAATTTCAAAGTGAATGTAACTTGTGTATAGTCTATGTTTTCTTCATCATCTTCATTCTTTTAATAGACTGGTTCTCTGTTGTTCTTCTTTGAGTATTCACGACCTGCAAGTCAAAGATATACAAAAGTTTCACCTTCAAATGAGCCAGGATTAAATCTTTTGGATTCATACTTATATACATTTCGAGGATTATTTTTACAGTGTAAGTGATATCCTCTTATATTTTATCTTTCTCATATGAATATGTATGTATGGTTGATTTGTGTTCTCAAGAATAATTTATTTGTTGACTACGTTCTGTAATGTCTATCATAACAAATACGGTAGATACTACTGGCTTTTAAAAAAAGAGATAATTGCATATATATATATATATATATATATATATATAAATTTGAGATGAATGGGATTTTTATTTAGAGGTACTATTCATCATGGACTGACATCAATTGGGGAACCACTGAAAACCCGCGAGCACTAGACAGCTCTTTCATCCTAGTATGCATAATGCTTATTAGTGACATGCTCCTAGATGAATATTGCGAAGTTCTAATTAGAAGCTGTGACCTGTAGAGTAAACCAGTCGGAAGGGAAGTGTATGTCAACTGAAGACCTATCGTGAATTGACGGAAGTTGGAAACTGTGAACCACTGAAAATCGACCCAGTGGTTGAATGGCTAATGCGTTCCCCGTGAAACCTGAAGGTTCTGAGTTCCGTCCCTAGCCGGGTCGTGGGTGCGTAAGGCTTAGGAGTTCCATACTAAAACGAAACAGTTGTCTAGTGTTCCCAAGTTTCTAATGGTTCCCCAAATGGTGTTAGTACGTCATGAATACTACCAGTAAAGGGCATATATCTGAATGTTTTTATAGTCTTTCTGTTTATTATTTGATCGATTCAACATTCAATCACTCTGAATACTGGATAGTAACATTACTGACTAACTGGGAATAATCAATCCAATGTGTAAATGTTCTATATCTATCCAGTAATTCACTTTAAAAGTTTTTATTGACAACATTTCATATACTCTAACCAGTACAGCGTTTATAATCGTTGTCAGAATCAAATCAATCATCTCCTGAGCACTGAAGTTGTGTTGTAATAAAAGAATTGCATAACCGACATCTAGAAATATTTGTTAGTTGGTTGGAGACAGTCGGCAGGAAGCCCTGGATCCAGGTTTCATGCTTGTTGGTACTCGTCAGCAAGGCGTGTATGCAACTTCGACAGAACTGACGTCCCGCCAGAGAGAGTCGAACCGGCGTCACCCAGTGTTGTAATCAGAGATGTTACCACTGAGCCATTCAGGCTGATATTGAACTCCTGTGGGACTGGGTTAGGTGCATTGACAACATTGAGAACAACTAGCACTCAGAACTACACAACATGAAATTGGTTACTGTCTCGTGACCAGTCAGTGTATTTCATCCAGTCATACAAGAGGTCAGTCACAGCCAGAATAGCTCACTAGTAACTTTGCTGGCTACATGACTGTATGGTCTGGGTTTGAATCTCAGGCAAGACATCAGTTCCTTCGAGGTTGCAGACACGCCCTGCTGACGGGTGCCAGTAAGCACGAAGCCTAGTCCAGGGCTTCCTAACGATTGCCTCGAACCAGTTGACTTTCAACCAATGGGTCACGGACTGGTAACCGGTTCGTTTTATTAAGGTTTGAACAACTAAGTAGTATCACCAACCATAATACATCAGGCGTGGCTTATTGCTTAGTCTGGCACTTTTAAGTATATTGCATTTCAGTCACTGAATAAAAATCCAGTAATTCACTCGTCCTACTTTTCTCTTTATTTATTTGTTGGTGTCAAGACTATGGAAGAAAATTTAACTTCTGTTCCTAATGGTAATGATGGATTGTAGCTAGCAGTGGAATCCCGGATACGCCGTTCATTCTATTTGATACTCGTCAGCCAGATGTTCCAGCACTCCAGCGAGTGATATTATTCCCACTAAGAGTCAAAGCCTGGACCGATCGCTTCAAACACAAGGGTATCTGGGCAGGAGCTTATATGCCAGTAGAGACCGATCAATTCTGTCCCGTCAACCTCAGGAAATCACAAGTAATAATATAAAAATTATACCTGTCGCGCAAAGAGTGACTGCCATGATTCAGTGGCCTAGTGAATAACGCCGTGGTTCTTGAAGCAGTCGGTTCTGGGTTCGAGTCCTAGTGGGAATAACATCATTCATTGGAGTGCCAGTACATTTGGTTGACGAGTCCAAACAGGATGAAAAGCAAGCAATGAATTCCTCTGGTATCAAACTGAAAATATAGACAATATCGAGAAATCTATACTGGAGCTGCAATAGAAACCGGTTAAATTTTCTGTTTACAATGCTTAACTGTCATTATCTTACAAGCTGGCGTACAAAATATTTTAAGGTACTCCGTTTCTAGAACAGCGTTTCCGGAGTTTCTAATTCATATATATAATTTAAGTCCACGACAGATGGCTTGAATAAGTCATCATGACAAAGCATATAGACCACTGTCCAGTAAAGGTAGTTAATGCAGTCTCGGGTCACAGTGAAATAATTAGGATGAGACAGAACATGTGACTTTTCTAAACGTTTAACTCGATTTAGTTAATTCAGCTTAGTAATGATGGGCAGTGGCTAGCAGTGGAATCCAGGATGTGCATTTCGTTCTATTTGGGACTCGTCAGCTGGATGTACTTGCTTCCCAGTGAGTGATGTTGTTCTCACCGGGACTCGGACTCGGACTCAGCTTATTTAATTTGCATTCATTAAATTCTTAGCTAGGCATAATTTATTGATCATTCCCATGTTTCATCTAGATAAAAAAAAGGATATTTATTCATTGAATTCTCATTTTGTTTAAATGAGAATAAGGTTAATAGACTTTTCATTTTGTTCATTAACCTCTTTATTCGAAGACTTACCTTTCATACAGAATATACACAATATATACCCTAATTTGTCCTATGAAACGTCTCTCGAACGTTCTTTTTGAAATGATTTCACTTCATCACGCTATTTTTTTGTTTGTTATAAAGCAGTTAATCTAATAAAGTGGTTATGACTCATTTTTCTAATTTTACGAAAATGATTTCTTCCCTTGAGATAAATTTGACAACAATTATTTGACAGAAATGAGAAACATACCATGAGAATACTTCCAAATAATTTTACCGTGCTCTAACAGCATGCACATGAGTCATTTCTCACAATACTATGTATTAGTCAGATAATCTTAAAGCGATAATAGAGGAAAAAAGGACCTCGCCTGGCCAACTAGTCCACTAGTTACTAGCCGGTTCTAAGCCCGGATAAACAGGAAAGGTTGGATATAGGGCTACCAACCCTACCCCAGAAAACCAATCCAATCGCTAAACAAACTCCAAAATATAAAAAATAAAAATAAACTTATTCCTCAATGGAATTGGGGAGACGAAATGACGCGAGTTGGTGAAAACCTTTGCGAAGCCAGTCGGTAGATGTGTCTTCTCCCCTCGATGAAAGCAGAAGTAAGCTAAGCATACGGACATGGAATGTCCGCACCATGTATGAACCTAAAAAGGCTGCCCAAAGAAGGGAGACCTAAGTCTTTGCAAGAACTGGTGGGGAATCATGCTGCTGCCCACCCAAAGCAAGTAAAATATTAAGCTGCATCATCCTGGAGAGACTAAAGGATGCTCCGCATTCAAGAATACAACCGGAACAGGCTGATTGGCTGGCTGGCTTCAGGAAGAACAAATCATGAGCGCATTAAATTGCAACGCTACGCATCATCATAGAACAGAGTATACAATGACAGTCAACTCTTTACCATACCTCAACTTTATCGACTTTGAAAAGGTCTTCGATCGAGGCGTCGACCGAGAAGTAATTTGGCAGGCAGCTGCATCAACACTACGAAGTGCCAATAGTCTTTATCAACCTCATTCAACAGCTATATGAAGACGCCAGATGCCAGGTAATTCACAATGGTAAGCTCAGTGACGCCTTTGAAATGAAGACAGGATTAAGACAAGGTTGCCAAATACTGTCATCACCGACCATTTTCCTGATTGTGGTAGACTGGAGCATGCAGCAGACAACCATGAGTAGCGAGATGTCCATATGCTGGTTGGACTGATGAAAAGACCCTAGAAGATTTCGATTTCGCCAACGATGATGATTTGTGTCTAATGTCTTGTTGCACGTGATTAAGGTAACCTTGCACATGATTGGTCTGGAATATACTTGTCCAGTTTTGTGTATCGATCCACACACACACATACATACATACATACACATACACGATGAGTCAAAAAATTTGACGCCACAATACACAATAATTGATTTCATTCAACATGCAACCATTTCTGAACTATAAGTCATATAGAAATGAATGAGGGGTCAGTCGAAAGCTTTTGAACTGAACTATACAATAAAGTTTAACCATAAGAGAAATAACTGTTAAAATAGGTAGAACAATATGACCGATATTACTTATGTGAGATTCATGTTTTCACCTTTTCGACTGATAGAACACTACCTTTTGTAACATAACCGGTTCACTGATCGGTTAGAGGTATGGTAGTGTGTTTATAGTGTGACCAGTTTAAAATGAATTCATATCATAAGTGAAATGATATTGTATGTTCGAGTTAGTATTCATCGTAGACTGACATCAGTAGGAGGAACAAAGGAAACTTGGGAGCACTGGACAGCTGGTTCGTCCTAGTATGGGACTGCTTAGCAGTGCGCACCCATGACCCCTCCAGGGAGCGAGCCCGCGACCTTCAGGTTCCGTGGCCAGCACGTTACCATTGAACCACTGGATCGGAATCCAATGGTCCATATTCCCAACTCCTGTCAGTTCATGGCATACCGCAACCGCCACCCAGTGTCATCGTTGAATAACTATCCTCACGACCATCAGGTTAGCCCCACAGGTCACGACTTCTCATTGGAACTTCGGGAATCATCTCCCAGGTTTATATTGTCCCTGCAACTGATGTTAGTCTACAATGAATACTGACATGAAAATATTTTTGAGCCCCCACAGATCCCTAGAGATATTGTATGTCTCATTTTAATGAGCTCAGACAGTCATGGTATTCGCATCGATACAATTTGTGAAGTTTACTAGTTATTGAAGACACTGATTGTAATACTGTGATGTATGATAAAGTGATATCTTTCCCACAACTTGACAGAAAAGATGTAAAGATGACTAC